TTTTTTTAAAAAATTGATGTCTGTCCTGTTAGACTGCAAGTCTATAAATGTAGAGACAATGTCAATTTCCTTTTACTCTTGTGCCCTAGCATTTAGCACAGTGTCCAGAACATCATAAGGTGTTTAATAAGTATTTGTTGAATGAATGAATGAATGAAATCACCCAAAGAAGTTAGTGTGGGACTAAAATCTAGGTTTCCCGATTCCAAATTTAATGTTATTTATAACCCACCTGCTGCTCTCACTTTGGTGTCCTCACCTCTGAGTATCAACACAATGCATTTATTAAGTGCAAGGAAAATCATTGATATTCCTTAAATGTTGTTTTTGGCAACACTAGTGGTATATAATATCTAGGCATGGTTCCATATTAAAAAGACAAAGTTGTCATGTGGGCTTGTTTGCTTTGTGACTTTGCCACTTATTTCCTGAAATACAACTGTGGTGGTTTTTATGTGTCAGCTTGATTGGTTTGTGGGATGCCCACATAGCTGCTAAAAAATTGTTTCTGGATATGTCAGTGAGGCTGTTTCTGGAAGAGGTGAGCGTTTGATTTAGTAGACTGAGTGAGGGGAGAGATCTGCCTTCACCAATGTGGGTGAATCATCCAGTCTGTTGGTGGCCCAAATGGAACTGAAGGTGAGAAGAAGGGTCCATTTTCTCCTGCACCAGAACATTGAAGCCTCTGGTTCTTGGGCCTTCAGACTCCGGGACGTAAACTATCAGCTCCCCTGGTTCTCAGGCCTTGGGATTCAGCCTGAATTACACCACTGGCTTTCCGGGGTCTCCAGCTTGCAGAAGGTAGATTGTGGGACTTCTTGGCCTCCATAACCATGTGAGCCAATTCCTATAATAAATGTCTAATGTATGTCTCTATATATCCTATTGGTTCTGTTTCTCTGGAGAACACTGATATAACAACCATTACTTAAAATAATTCAAAAGCAACCTGCACTATAGATTGCTTTACGTAATATGAAATTTAATAAGTTAGTAAATGAATGTATGCATGCTTTTTTACTCAAGAAATTAATATATAAGTGTAATGATTACAGAGAAGTTGGAGGGACTGTCTGAATCAGAGTTGACTGCTACTGATAAATATCTAGCTATTGCTGATAACAGTGTGTGAAGAAAGGGGCAAACTCTAGGCCTTCTTCACATCCATTTGGGTCCTCGATCTAGTCCAATTATTAGTTTCTGGAGTCCTTTTCAAGGCACTAGCTGTGCCTCTGTTCCCTTCCTCAAAACTTCTTCCTTGAGGAGTGACCTGATTCCAAAGGAGAGTGACTAGCGTGGCACATAAGCTTTGAGGTAGTGTGGTGGTCACTCTGAGATGTGTGCTAGACCTGATGGCTTCCAGGATGCACGTGTAGGCCATTACAGTAAGTTCTTCAGGAGAAGCATAAAAGAATGACATTCCCAACTAGTGAAGGACCTTTTTGTTCAAAGGCATGGAGTGAACTACTTTGGGATTTGAACACTGTTTTTCTTGTGGAAAGGTGTTTCTCTTTCTCCTGTGGAAATGATTTTGAAGGATGGTTCAGTTCTGAGGCTAGCCCGCAGAAGCTTATTAAAACATAATGTAGCTGGATCAATGGTACTGTGCAACCAACTGAGGTTTGTAAACATGTTTCCATTGGAATATATATTGGGGTTTCAACTTGAGATGACAAAACTGTGTCCCTTTTTTGACTGATTGAAATTCATTTATTTAATCTGTCACTCAGTCACTGAGCAAACATTTATTGAGCATTGGCTATGTTGTAGGTTCTGGTCTAGATGTTGGGACAATAAGATTAGCAAGACTACTTCTCCCCCAGGAAACTCAGTCTACTGGGAGGAGCAATGTCACAAGCAGAAAACTACAAAATAATTTGTGAAGTGCTCTAGCTAAGCGCTCTTCCCTGAGCTCCAGGCCCATATATTAATTCCTTCTTGGCATCTCTACTTGAGGCCCAGGAATATCTCAAACTCAACATGCCCAGGACTGCATCCATCATCTCTGCTAAGCCGCCTCCACCCGTCCTCTGCCCCCTCCTCATCTTCCTCCTTCTATATATGTTCATCTTAATTTGTGGAACCATCTTGTAACCAGACATCCATCATAGAAACCTGAGAATGATCCTGAGCTCCTTCAACCCCCACATTCCATCAGTCACCAAGTCCTACTAATATTATCTCTTGAAGAGTCTTCTAGCCCACCCCTCCTCTCTAACTCTGCTACCTACCACTGTCTTAATCCAAGATGCTGATAAGGCTCCTAACTGGAATCCCAGACCAGTGCTCTGTCTTTCTCAGACATATCCTTCACAGAGTACTATTTCTTAGGTTTTCTAGCTAGAGAGCTTAGCACAGGGCCTGACCCGCAGTAAATACCACTATTGTAATTAACACCATGTATTAATGCAGATGAGAAGCACTGACAGGCCAGGTTTCTGAATGGGGAGCATTTGCTTGTTTTGTGCTAGTCTGGAATGTCAATATTCTGTTAACTCACAGATGATCAGGGTCACTGGCAATCTGGCTTATATAGTCTAAATTTACAAGAGATAGTATAATGTAATGGTCAAAACATTGGCCTTTGGATCCAGTGCTGCCATGTAATGCATGTAAAATGACACTATGCTATTTTTTCTTCCTTTCTCTTCATTTTATTCATATAGAAAGTCAATTTTCCACTTGACTAGTTAGAAATAAGTTCAGCAGAAAGTGACAGAGAGCCCAAAATTACGGTGACTTTAACAAGATAGAAATTTATTTTTCTGTCAAAATGATATCCGGGTAGGCAGTCTAGAACTGGTGTGGTGCCTGCCCAATCATCAGGAGCCCCAGCTCCTGTTATCTTCATGCTTTGCCATTTTCAACATGTAACTTCCACCTCGTGACCAAAGATGGCTGCCCCAGCTCCAGCCATCATGTTCGTATTAAAGCCAGGAGGAAGGAGTAAAGAAAAGGACAAGGGCATTCCCATTCTTTTAAGGACATTTCCTAGATTGCATATATATATATACACACATACATTATATATATTGCATATATTATACATTATATATAATTATATTATATATTTTGTATTATAATTATTTAATGTAATATACATTATTATTATTATAAATATTATATATAAATCATATTATTCATTGGTCAGGACTTAGTCATATGACCAAATGTGGCTTCAAGAAAGGTTGGGAACTATAGTGTTTACTGTGGGTAGCCGTGTGCTTAGCTAAAAATTAAAAGTACTATCTTGTATAAAGGAAGTAGTGATGAATATAAGAAATGTCTTAACCTGGGTTCCCCAGAAATCAGAGCCTGAGGCAAAAGTTTGTGTACTTCTCTTTACCAGGGAGGACAGAGCCAGGGGAGCAGAAGTGAGGTGGGGAAGGAGGGAGAGCCAATATGAGGGTCTTGACTTAGCTGCCCGTCACTTGGTATCGAGCACAACTGACTGCTAGATTTTATAAGACAGTCCTCAGAGAGGAGTGTGAATGACGATATCTCAGAACAGTCTTTCCAGGTGAGAAAGGAGGAGAAATTCGACCGCTGGTTCCTATCTCCTATCAGTTGAGATTTTGAGATTCACCCCATCAGGCATCAACTTTCTTGCAGTTCCAGCTGTTTACATGGGCACGGAACAGGTCCTATCACATTTCATGCCTTAGCATCTATAGCAAAGCCTCAGTGAGGGGGTCAGTTTGCATGTGATGTGGGTGTGAGGGGAGTTGCCATACCATGGCATCTGCATGAAGTCAGAGCACAGGCACAGGTGGTACAGCAGCAGCAGCTGGACCCAAACAAGAGGCTGAAGCCTTGGAGATAGGTGAGGCTGAAAGCTCTCAAGTGGTACCTAAGAGATGGCTGATGCAATAACCATCCAGCAGTCTCTGCCACACTGCTCTAATTTGAGTTGACTTCTTACTGACAAAGCCAGTGAACCCCTGGGGACTCCATGCCCAATACTGAGATGCTCGTACATCTGAATCAGTAACAACAAGAGCATTGAGCAAGACCAGGTAGTCTGCTAAGAGCTTTACAGGTGCTGTTTCACTGAATCCTCACAACAAACCCAGATAGAAGGTGCTATTCTTTTCTTTTTCTTTTTTTTTGCTCTTAATGTTATATATGAGGTAACAAATGGACATGTTAACACATCTGGTAATAGGTGGGGCCAGGATTTGCGCTCAGGAAATCACCCAGAGCTTTTATGCCGCTCTGCTGCAGGGCATTAACAATGAGAAAGTGGTGAAATCAGTGTGGGATTATAAGAAGATATTTTTGGGAAAGAAAACTTCGTGATCTTAAAGAACATGTCAGTATCTGATGGAAAAAACTAGTGATCTTTTCTTTTCCACTGTAGTGTACACTCATCTATGCCTACCCAGAGACTAGCAGTGCCTTTGGAGGCAAGGTTCTCCTGCTAAGGTAAACTCCTGAGGACATGTCTCCCAGCCAGGCTGCTCCTTTATTCATCCTTTTCTCCCAGAGGATCCCAGTCTCATCCCAGATTTCTGCTGGCATCACCCCTCATTTGCCAGCCCGAGTTTTCTTCCCTCTTTTATCCTGAAAACAATGTCATTGTTTTCTCTCTCCCTTCCTTGTCTCTATGCCGGAAAATGATTCTGAGTGCTTCTGAGAATTTTACAGCTCTCAAAAGAAGAAAGGCATATGAGGGTTTAAAATAACATCATAGAGAAATTTCAAACTTACAAGCAGCTTTAAAAGCTTGGCAGTTACACTACTCACTCATTTTTCCTTGGAATGTAAACCTACCTAGGTCAGACTTTCTAAGGTTCCTTTTTTTCTCTGGCCCATCCTTTTGGTAAAAATTGGATCCAGACAATCCAATTTCTTGATCTCTTATTTACTCTCAGGGCTGGAGCCTCTGAGACCTCCTTCCTTTGATAAGGAAGGCATCCTTCTTCTCCCTCTATCAAATCTCCCGTATAAGTCTATATGAGAAAGGACAGAAATACTGAGGAGTGGAAGAGGGTTGATGAAGGCTCAAATATGATTTATTAAAATTTTAAGGAAAACTCAGACTGCTCATCTTCACTGCTCATCTCTTTATTCTTCACACAGGAAATCATCTAAGGTTGTTCTGGGAGTAACACGCAAATCCAAGGGGTCTCTCCTTTGTTGTTTTATTTTCCATCTTTTTTCCGGACTCCAAGATAACAACCATTTGTTCAGTCAGCAAACATGTATTAAGCACCTGCAAAGCATCAAGTACCGTGAAAGTCACAGGGGTAAGATATTTGCACCTGTCCCTTCAACACTACTCTTCATTGTTTCAACATATTTTTATAACATACTACAATATCTAGTGAATGTGTACATTATTTACTTTAAAATCACATTTTAGATCATTTCTCTGAGCAGATTCCTGTAGACTTCATTCATAATATATTTATTTACTCTTTGGCCTCGAATAGTATAACTTTGTCTGCTTCTTTACCACTTTTCTTTCCAAATACCCCACTGAAAGCTGATCTAACAGTGGACCTACAGACCTTAGCCCTGCCTGAATTCTCTTGAGGGCCTGGCTCCAGCAGCATCACAACCATCTGAGGCTAGACCATTCATTGGTGCTAGACTAGCAGGGACGCATCAGTAAACACTTGGGTAAAGGTATGAATAGTCAAATAAAGACCCAGAAGACTCAATATTCTGTAGAATGCACAAAAATGAAAAGGCTCTACCACTTGACCTGTGTCTTAGTTTTGTCCCTGATGTAACACAGTTAAGAAACAGGAAATCAGTCTGGACTGTGGATCCTAGAATGACTCTTCACAGTTTTAACTATCCATAGTCTATAAAAGTATACCTGATATTCGTAGTTAAGTAATTGTTGCTTCTCACCAGGTGACAATTTCTGCTGGAAACCTATAATAAAACATTAAGCAAAAAAGAAAAATGAATTTATCATTTCACAAGCTATGCCTTAAAAATCTTACAAGGGGCCGACGTGGTGGCTCAGCGGTTAAGTGCGCAGTTCCACTTTGGCAGCCCAGGGTTTGCCGGTTCAGATCCCAGGTGCCAACATGGCACCGCTTGGCAAAAGCCATGCTGTGGTAGGCATCCCACATATAAAGTAGAGGAAGATGGGCACGGATGTTAGCTCAGGGCCAGTCTTCCTCAACAAAAAGAGGAGGATTGGCAGCAGTTAGCTCAGGGCTGATCGTCCTCAAAAAAAATTTTAAAAACGCAAAAATTTTACTTGTTTGAGTATCGGAATCACAGACTATTTTTGGCAGATAATTTGTATATTAGCAAAAGGAAAATTGTGGGATTAACAAAGAAATAGGTGAGTTACAGTGTAATGCAAAGTTAATGAATGTGACACTACTCGTCTCATAAAAGTGATACTTCAGTTTTTACTTTTCTGCAAAGCTGACTCATACCTTTTAAGGAGGATGTCATATCAAAATAATAATTTCCTTCACGGAATTTCCTTGTTTTCTTAAATAGTAAGGGGGAAAAATGGTGTTAAAATTTAAAAGCTCTATAAGATTCAATACTTTGGAGAATATAGTAAGATAGGTTCTCTCATATACTTTTATATATTTCCAATGGGATGTAAGTTAATACACTGTTGCTGAAAAAAAGTTTGGCACCATGTGTCAGGAATCCTAAATATATGCATACTCTCTAATCATTAATCCATCTTTAAGAATCTATACTAAAAAATAAGGACATGGTTTAACATACATCCATGCAAAAATACTTGATTCAGCATTATATATATTAGTACAAAGTTGAGAACAACCTAAATGTTCCCAAACAAGTTAAATAAATTACTCCATACCATGTAATATTTATTCTACAACAGAAAAATTGCATTTTTGAAAATTATGTGATTATGTATAAAAATGCTTGTAATGTAATGTTAAATTAAAATCAAGATACACGGGCTGGCCCTATGACCAAGTGGTTAAATTCCTGCGCTCCACTTTGGTGGTCCAGGGTTTCTCTGGTTCAGATCTTGAGCATGGATCTGGCACCACTTATCAGGCCACGCTGAGGCAGTGTCCCACATAGCACAACCAGAAGGAACTACCACTAGAATATACAACTGTCTACTGGAGGGCTTTGGGGAGAAGAAGAAGAAGGAAGAAAAAGAAAGGAAGATAAGCAACAGATGTTAGCTCAGGTGCCAATCTTAAAAAAAAATCAAGATACAAAACACACATAATATAATTCCAATGTTTAAAAATTTTGGTTTTATATATTCATGAAAAAGAGTGAAAATGAAAATAGCAGCTGTTATTCCTGAGTGGTCAGAAATATATTTATTATTTTTTAATATTTTTCACATTTTCTAAAGTAACCTTTAATGATAAAATATTATTAAACCACATTTAGACACTTAAACTCTAACTTAACTGTATAACTATATCAAACACTTTTAAGTATAAAATTTTGAAATGTTGGGTCAAGCACATGCAAACTTGGATTGCTCACATTATATAATTCATGAACAAAGAGGGAAGAATACAAATAGCAATGTTTGACAGAGCACTATTTTTTTTCCAGCTTTACTGAGCTATACTTTCCATCCAATAAATTGCACATATTTAAAGCATAAAATTTGATGTTTTGACATATTTATGCTCAAAATCCATTAGCATCACCACAATCCAGATAATGAATACTTATACCATTGCCAAAAGTTTCTTTGTGCCCTTTCATAATCCATTTCTCCCTTCTCCCAACCCAGGCAACCACTGAATCTGATTTTTGATGCTATAGATGAGTTTGCATTTCCTAAAGTTTTATATAAATGGAATCATTCAGCATGTGCGTTTTTGGTTATGCTCCTTTCACCTTATGATAATAATTATGAGATTCATTTATGCCATTGCATGTATCAATAATTTGTTCCTTTTCATTATTGAATAGTATTTTGTTGTCTGGATGTATTATCATTTGTTTATCCACTCAATTGTTGACGGACAATTTAGTTGTTTCCAGTTTTTGGCCATTACAGATAAAGCTGCCATGAATATTCATGTATAAATCTTTGTATGGAATATATTTTCATTTCTCTTACGTAAATACCCAGGAGTGGAATGGTTGGGTAAAATTGTAGGTATATCTACAACTTTTTAAAGAAACTGTCAAACTGGTTTTCAAAGTGGTTGTACTGCAACCATCCTACGATGATTGTACCATTTCCAACAGCTGTGTATGAGAATTCCAGTTGCTTTGTATTCTCACTAACACTTGATATTGTCAGTCTTTTTACATTTAGCCATTCTAGTGGGTATGTAGTAATATCTCATTGTGATTTTAATTTGCATTTCTCTAATGACTCATGATGAGCTTTTCAAGTGCTCGTCATCCATATATCTTCTTTGCTAAAGTGTTTGTTCAATTATTTTGCCAATTTTTAGTGAGTTGTCTTCTGATTGGTTTATGACAGATATTTTTATGTTCTAAATAAAGTCCTTTGTGTGATGAAAATTTTGCAAAGATTTTCTCCCAGTTTGTGACTTGCTGTTTCGTTTTCATAGCAGCATCTTCTAAAGAGGAAAAGTTTTATTTTGCTGAAGTCCAGTTTACTACATTTTTTCTTTTTCACTTCATGCTTTTTATGTCACATTTAAGAACTCTTTAACACACCAAAGACCATAAGGATTTTCTACCTATGTTTTCTTCTATAACTATCATAGTTTTAATTTTTACGTTTAGGTCTATAATACATTTCAAGCTAATTTTTGCATACTACGTGAAGTAAGTTTTGAAGTTCATTTTTGGGGAGTGTTTTTCCAGTACTATTCATTGAAAAGATTTTCTGTTCCTCATTGAATTGTCTTGATAGCTTTGCAGAAAATGAATTGAATCTATTTCTGGACTCTCCCGTTGGCTATTTTATGCCAATACCACGTAACTTTGATTACTGTAGATTTGTAGTAATTTTGAAACCATGTAATCTATGTCTATCAACTTTATTTCTTGTTTTCAAAATTTTTTGACTACTCCAGATACTTTATATTTGCATATGAATTTTAGAATCAGTGTATGAATTATTAAAAAAAAGAATGCTAAAATTTTGTTTGGGATTTCACTGAATCTACAGATCAATTTGAGAATTGATATTTTTGCAATACTGAGACTTCTAATGTATTAATGCCCTGCGTGTCTCCATTTATTTAAAACTGCTCTAATGTCTTTCAACAATATTTTATAGTTTTCAACGTGTAGGTCTTAACATGTTTGGTCAAATTTGTCTTTAAATGTTATATATTTTTGATGCTATTATAAATGACAGTGCTTTTTAAAATTTCAAATTGAGATTGTTGTTCACTAGTATGTAGAAATATAATTGACTTTTATGTATTAAACTTGTATCCTGGAACATTACTACCCTCAATTATTAGTTCTAGTAGCTTTTTTGTAATTCCATAGGGCTTTCTATGGGTCATCATGTTGCCTGCAAATAAAGACAGCTCTGCCTCTTCCTTTCCAATCTGTGTGGCTTTTATTTCTTTTTCTTGTTTTATTGCACAGCCTAAGACCTCCAGTACAATCTTGAATAGAAGTAGTAAGAATAGACATCCTTGCCTCATTCTAAATGTTAGGGGAAAACCAGTCAGTCTTTACCATTAAGTATGATGGAAGCTGTAGGTTTTTCACAGTTGCCCTTTATGAGATTGAGGAGGTTCCTTCCTCTTCATATTTTGCTGAGTATTTTGTTAAGAGGTATCGGATTTTTAAACATTTTGAGCATTACTTGAAGTTTGAGCCAATTCCTGTAATATAATTTTAAAATTTGCACCAAATACTTACAAGAGTAACTCATGTTTTAATTTCCTTTGTAAATTTGTCAAGAGATTTATAGTGCCTCCAGTTAATAAAAATGAAGAATTTTCTCATTAATATTAAAAACAAAATTTTTTTTTAAAGATTTTATTTTCCCCTTTTCTCCCAAAGCCCCCCGGTTCATAGCTGTGTATTTTTAGTTGTGGGTCCTTCTAGTTGTGGCATAAAAACAAAATTTTTGACTTCTTTATGGCAACTTCAATAATAAACAGAACCTTAAGTGATTCGAAGTTGAAGACCAACCTCAAATTTTCACAACCAACAATTAAAAATTTTAATTTCGATATATTGTGACAATGAGGGAAGATAGCAGCAATTACTGCAATGTGCTAAAAAATACAGATATGTGGTTTCAGATGTGTGACCCTCGAGTCATACATACGTTGTAGGTGATGTTTGAGAAGCAGTTTTCTCTGCTCTGTACTCTTCTTTGAATGAGTGGAGGCCAGGTTGCTGAATGGGCGACATGGCTCTTCTTATTTATATAATGGGGCACCACTGAGTACATATTTTGAGGGATTTGGACTAAGGCGAAGTCAGCCTTGATGCAGACTAACAAAGTCAAAAGAGAACCATTGAAAATAAAATTCCCCAAATACCCAGAATCAAAAAGCTGATATCAAAGACCCATTGTTTCTTATCATAGGTGCATAACGTACCATTTTATGAAAACATACAAAGATATTATCATAACTTCTAGACAGATTGTCAGGAAATCCTCTTTTAAAAAAAGAAAGAGAAGAGCCACACCTAATTTACTATTATTTGGAAAAATCCATTGGTTTGTGTGATAAACACTAAAATAGACTGATTATACATCTGGCTAAGTGCCAAGCCATTCTTCTGTGAACTCTAAGATAATGGACTTTCATTGTTCTGTTTGTTATCATTGCCAATTCCTGTCAGACTGGTCCTCAGCAGTTACGTGGGCTTCTGCCATTTATCAAGTCTGTGTCTTAAAAATCTCTTTCTACTTGTCTAAAACAACAATTCCTTTGTTTAACAAACATATATTTGATAAAATTTTCAAGGTTCACATGTAATTGGTAAGTTTCTGTTAC